CATATTTCAAAATGTATACAAAGAGCGTATTATGCACTCAAGCTGCTTTACCCTCATAGACACTTTCTTAGCAGAGACATCAAACGAATGCTATGCGAAACGTTGGTTTTGTCCCAGTTTTCGTATGGTGCTCCTGTCTATTATCCATGCTTGGATACTGATACGATATCTAGAATTCAGCGTGTTCAAAATTCATGTATAAGGTACATTTTCGGTATAAGGAAATATGACAGAGTTAGTCATAAGCTGAAGGATTTACAGTGGTTGAACATGAAACAGCGTTCAGAACTATTAACACTATGTTTCTACAATAATATTTTGTCGAGCAAGTCACCGCCATATTTGTATGAAAATGTCATGTTTAGAGAAAGTCTTCATTCTGTCAATGTTCGTTCGAAACAGAATATTTCTGCTCCATTCCATCGAACATGTTTTTTCCAACGTGGCTTCTCTTACAACATCTATAAATTATACAACTCCATCTCCCAGCAAATCAAAAATATGAAAGGTTGCAAATTCAAGGCAGCTCTGAGACGATTCCTTTTAGATAAGTATAATTAACTTCACTGATAATACTGTAACATTTAGCTTTTTTGGATGAATCTCATGATTATATGATGGAATATTTTCAGTTTTATATTTTCAGTGTTATTTGTTTTTTTTTGTACTCATGATTTTTTTTCTGCTCTCATATAGTTAGTAGTAGGCATGTAACAGTTGATATCACTATTTTAAAATAGAGCAAGGGATGAGTGGAAGAGCACGCAGGTCGTGAACTCCCCCTTGAGATTCGAGAGCAATTATTCCTATTTGTTGAACATTATTTTTGTATGCATTGTCTCTTCGAATGAAGCCATTTATTATTATTATTAATAAAAGGGTAAATTTCGTTTGGATAAAAGGACATGCCGGCATTGCCGGTAATGACCACGCTGACTTAGCGGCTGAAAAGGCCTGCTCAATTGGCCCAAAGCTGGATTCCCCATGTAATCTAGAAGTGACTCAAATTTTAAAGCGGAATACGATAACCAAATGGAAATTAACTTTTAAAAGCGCTGCAAGTTCCTCAAATAGTCATTACTTCAAACTTCACCCAGAATTACCCAATAGTATACCTCATTTTTCATTTTTTCATTCTCTATAGCTTACGTTTCCATGATGACCCGTATGCTAACTTTCCGATCCACCTAAATGAAATTGGAATATTCGAATCTCCCTTCTGTTCGTGCAATGGCTCTTCTATAGAAGATTTGAACCATATCTTTTTTGAGTGTGCGAGCAATAGAGATGTATCATATTGTCTAATGACACAATTAAATAATTTAGATATTCCGCTTCCCACCAATGCGACTTGCCTTCTCTACTCAAACGAGTTGGTTTTTGATCTACTTATAGAATTCTTACATACAACAACATTTATATAGATACCCAAACCACTTATAAACGGTATGTGGCAAATGGGTCCCGGCCGATGCCAATTTCGTCACACACACACACACACAACTTAATAACTGCGTAGTTACCAAGGGGATATAACATGTATAGAGGAGAAGGTCTGAATATAGGCTAGGGTCTAAATATATGCTACTTGATACTGTGGTTGCCTACTTCCTTGCAAAGAGAAGGTAACAGCGCACAATGATGTCTCGTCAGCCAAACCGTTGGCCGTAAAAAATCGGTTGTGTTCATTTGACATGTGAAGATGTTATTTTCAACGGTGTGCTAGTTCGTGTGATTTACGGAATCTAAAAGTTTATAAGGTATCTTTGTTGTCTTTTTGACACAGTGATCTTTTGAGCTTAGAACCGATCTATTTCATTAATGATCTTAGTGACACACTAAGCTTATTCTTACATAGGTTACATTTGCCATAAGGTTGTTTGTCACACACCTATTCTTTTTGATACCGATGGTCCAAATATAGGCTATAAGGTGTGGTCTGAATTTGGGCTAGTCCGAATTTGGACCTTTATTATTATGACTTATTTTTGTTTCATAATGCTGCGCAGCAAACCAAAATATGCCAAAAAACATGAGAGTGAGTCTTGGAAGTAAGAAGACATGGAAAAAGCAATAAAACAATGGTTCGAGAAAAAAAGATGGGAACTTTAAAAGCGGCAAAAACTTTTTATGTGCCTCCTACAACGCTACAAACTTTTAGTAAAAAGCTTGTCCTTACTCCAGCACAAGCAGTTTGTACTAAGCTTGGACGAAAGCCTCACTTGGGTGAACACTTAGAAGAAGAGTTAGTTTCCTTCTCACTTATAATGGAGCAGAAGTCCTATGGATACACTATCCGAGATTCGCGCAGAATGGCTTATCAAGTTGCAATTATAAATAATCTTGAGTAGATCCTTTTTTAAATCGTCATAAAGAGCACCTATCTATTCGGAAACAATATGAAACATATTTCTCAAGAGCTTTTAGGCATCAACAAGGAGAATGTTCGGAGCTTTTTCAAAATGCTCGAAGAGACTTGCTAAAAACACAACTTTCAAGCAGAGAGAGTGTATAATGTTCAAAGCAACATTCCTCATATTATTGGTCGAAAAGGAAAAAACAAATAGCAGCCTTAACTTCTGCAAAGAGAGGTGCTACCATAACGATAATTGCATGCATGAGTGCTTCTGGAATTTTCGTCCCTCCTCTAGTGATCTTCCCAAGGACTAATATGACTCAAGACTTAATGAAAGGATGCCCTCCAGGTTCAATAGGAAGAGCTCACCTCTCAGGATGAGTTCAAAGTAATATTTTTACAGACTGGTTTCCTTATTTTATTGAGAAAGTCTGTCCGACAGAAAACTCGCCCTTTCTGCTGATTTTGGATTGTCATTACAGTCACGTCCGAAATCCAGATTTAATTGATATGGCCCGATGACAGTTCGAGTGACGTGGAAAGACCTAATGGAGATTACCCAGAAGATGAGGATGCAAGTTGCTTATTTTGCAACGGAGTGTTTTAGGAAGGCATGAGAGAAGAAGTTTGGGTGAAAAGTTTTCAGTGTTTTATGTGGGCACATAGTGACTGCGGATGCTGAAAAAGACTTTTACATATGTGATTTTTGTAAATAAGTTTTACATTTTGTCTCCAATACTTTTTTGTCGATAAACTTGTGTTTATTGTTTCAAGCCTGACGTAACGGCGATAAATATTTGTGCTGTAGTTATTATTTGGTTTTATAGTTTAAACTGTTTTTTAATAATACTGTTATTGAGAACATTTCATAGCTAGAATATCTTTTTTTGAAATACTGTTACACTACGGGCAATATCTAGATATATCTTGATGGTTGCCCATCTTGAATTTTACCTTTTATAGAAGTAAATGTTATAAAGTAAAAGTGTTTCATATTCAGATTATTTTTTCCTGATATTGTTACATGCATATGTTCCAGCTATGCTATACTAGGCCTAAGATTAAAAAAAATATGAATATTGTATTTTAAATAAATAAAATACAAAGAACTAGCCCGTAGTTACACCTTCTAACATTAACCGAAAAATGTGTTCTTAAACATGTCCCAATCGACATCCTCCCGGATACGGTGGTTTATCTTCATTAACGTTAGCATACTCAGAAGACAGGTTACCGAGAAGAGAGATTGGCGGTAGAAGAAATGACAATGGCAAACCTTGTATGGATTGTCGCCGAGGAGCCTCTGGGTGAAGTGATGTGGCGGAGTATTATCATAATTGAGCCAAGTGAATAAAATGTAGTAAATACTAGGAAGTATTTACTTTTTAGTAAAGTAAAGTCTGCCAAGTAAAAGTAAATACTTAATTTGGAGAGAATAATCATTTGCTTTTACTAAGTAGTATTTGCTGGAAAAGTTGAAGAATTACTAGCAAGTATTTACTTATAAAAGTTACAATTTAAGTATTTGCTTCGCTACGCCAAGGCTATGTTCACATTTATGGAGTGTTGGGAAACTTCTTAGCCTGGGGCGATTTTAAGCCAATCACAATGCGCGTATGCTGACATGGAACACAAAATATATATCCGGTGCACACCGCTGCGCGCCTTGGGCGTAAATGTGAACGCGCCCCAGTGCTACGGATTCCTAATGGCGGCAAAAAATGTAAACACGACACATGCTCTGTGTATACAAAATTACTAATTATCAGTCGTGCTATCATGTCTAGTAACGAAGAAGAAAGTAGTACAGATAAAAATGAAATCTGTAAAGTTGAGGCGAGTAATACCCAAAGTAAGATGCGTTTTGTGAATTTATTAAAAAACCACCGAGTGGTATTAAATAAATCTATGTTGCCGAAGATGGTGGCAGCGAAAGAAAAAGCCTGGAATGAAATAAAAGATGAGTACAGTAAAGGCATTGGCAAAGTAGTCACCATAGCACAACTGACAAAACTTCTAAACAACATGAAGACGAATATTAAGAAAAAAACTGATGCAAAAGCGACGGGCAATAAACCATTGAAAGTGAATAAATGGGAAAGTGAATTTCTGGAAATCGTACAGATTGAAGAGAATCCTGTTTTTTCTAAAGTTCCTGGAGGCGTTTCAGCCGGAGTAACAGTGGACAACTCATCAGAAGTATCGCTTGTAGGAATCCGAAATGCGCCCTCTCTGTCAGATGTCGGGACTAGAAGTGCGCCCCGTAAGGAAGATGATGTGCTAAAACGACGAAAACGTGTTCTGGAGGGTGAAACAGAGGAAACCTCTCAACTTACAACTAATGAGTTGCAACGCCTTGTACTATTACAACAGTTGGCAGCAGCGAGGCTGCAACAGGAAAAAGACAAGCTTGTTATTGAATTATTGAAACAGCGTTTAGTTCAACATGGAAATGTAGAAGAACAGTTTAACAGAGCTCGGGCAATATTTACTATTTGACAAATGATATTTTTGTTTGTATTCAGTTCTCATAAATAAACGTTTCCATGTTAAAAGTATATTTAATTCAGAAAACTACAGAAATGTTATAAATTCAAAACTGCAATTATATCCTCGCGTTTTTGTACTCCTAGACGCCGCAAACGGTTTCTGTCATCATCTTCCTCGTCTTCATACATTACTTCGTCCAAAGGTTCATCTTCAAAGGCTTCTTCTAGGTTAAAGTCATCGTTCAAATATTTTGCTACATTATGCAGTACTGCGCAACACAATATTATTTTCGGTACCTTCTCACTTGATACTCTGACAGTATTGCTGAGTATAGGAAAGCGCATTTTCAGTTGTCCGAATAGTCTTTCTATTGTCACCCTTTCTCGAGAATGTAATTGGTTAAACCTTTCCTGTTGTCTGTTTATTGCAGGTTTAAATGGAGTTAAAAGCCATGGTGATATTCCATATCCAGAATCACCAAGGAGACAAAATGATCCCTTAAACTGTGATAAGACCTCCAAATCCTGCCGTCGTGTACACTTCCTGGCCACTGTGCATCTATACTTGTAAACTTTTCGCTAGCATCACAAGTAGCTTGTACATTTATACTTGTATAGCCTTTGCGATTTAGGTACTCGTCCACAAATCTCTCTGGTCTTTTTATTTTTACGTGAGTGCAGTCCAACGCCCCGATCACAGTAGGAATTGTGAAACGTGATTGCCATTTAACTTTCGCATCATTTAGTTCACTGACAGTTGTTGGAAATCTAATCCAGTGATCTGACTTCTGACACACTTTGGCTGTCCGCACACGGCTCGACCGGTATGCGAGCGATTTGAAATCAGTCTTAGTTCAGTCGCTTGCAACCTGATTTGCTGGTCGAGAGCAACTGAGGTTGTGCAATTCTGGGGAACATTTTTATTAATTTGCGTGGTTTTGTTTAGGGCTGCAAATTTTCAGATTGTTGAAAATGAGTGATCAGTTAGTAAATATTAAGTTTGTACAGGAAGTGGAAAAACACGAAGTATTGTATAATTATAACCTTCCTGGATACTCAAGACGAGATGTAACGGAAAAAGCGTGGAGTAAGGTGGCGAAAGAAGTAAGCATGACAGGTATGTACAATGCGTTTAATAATATAAATTAATTAATGAACAACATATATTGCACATTAATTGACAAAACGACGGAACAAGATATTGTGTAGCAGGACAACCAATATATTTAATCTATAAAAAAGTAAATAAGATATCAATTTTGATAAAAGCATATATGTAACAACAGTTTTATCTGCGTTACTACTTTTGTACAGTAAAAATCAAATGTCTCGGACACAATAATTCCATTGCCAGGGAAGAGAGGCATGAGGAGACAGAAAATAATTAGCAATATAATTTCTGAGGGCAGTTGGTGTTGCATCCACATTTATTGTTAAATCTGCCATTGGTATAATTGTGTTATTTTGTGATGTTCCTGTCATTTGAACTGAAAATGCTGTATACTCAATTCCTTCTCGAGCGCGAACAAAGTTGTGTAAAACGCAAACGGCTTTTATTATATTGCTGACTGTTCCCAGATCTCGGCATAGTATAGGACCGTTTAGGACCTGAAACTTTTCTGCTGCCATCCCAAATGCGCATTCAATTGTTTTTCTCCCTCGGCTCAATCTATAGTTAAAAATGCGTTTAACGTTGTCTAGTGTTCTTTTTGGATACGGTCTCATTAAATATCGTGTTAATGGAAAAGCTTCATCCCCTACAAAATAGTAAGGCAATGGGACTCTTTTTTTATCGTGCGTTAAGGGGGAGGGTGAAGGAATCTCAAAATTGCCTTGTGTTATCCAGTACTTGATTCTAGAAGCACGGAAGATCCCTCCATCGCTGTTTCTTCCTGCGTAACCTGGTTCTATCATTGTAAAAAGTCCATCTGCATCACAACATGCCATAAGTACCACAGAATGATAAGATTTATAATTGAAGTATTCTGAACCAGTGTTAGCAAATTTCTGTATTCGGATATGTTTACCGTCTATTGCCCCGATGCAGTTGGGAAGGTTCCACAAGAACTCGAAACGATCTGCTATCGCTTTCCATTTTTCAACCGTCGGTAAAGGCATATAGGTGTCATTCAGCAAATCCCAGATTATTTTTGTTGTTTCTTTAACGATAATACCAACTGTGGTCTCCCCTCTTGCGAAGTATAAAAGAAGCGATACAAACGTGCAACCCGTAGCCAAGTACCTGTAAAAACATAGAAATATGAAATTTAAAAAAAGGTATTAATAAATTGTTATTTATTGACTATTATAAGGTATTTCCCTACGATATCTATAATACATATAAGTTATCTCTCATGTTTTCTTTTGCGTAATTTCCATTTTTTGCTTCTTTAATAATTAAAAAAAACTCTTTTTCCAGTTGCTGAGTGCAAGGAAAAATGGAGAAACCTTCGTACAGTTCTTTCTCGAAAAATGAAATGCCCTCCAAGTGGATCAGGAGCGACAAAGAAGAAAGCTCATTACTTGGCCGATGTAATGCAGTTTGCTGTGCCATTTATAAAGACAGCCATTCCTCCTTCACCTGGAAATTTGCCAGAGATGCCTGAACAACAGACAACCCAAGTACTATCACCCTCAACTAGCGATTATGATGAAAGTATTGCAGAAAATGATACAGAACCTGCATCGTTCTCACAGCAGCCCTCATCTCCATTTTCTCCGCAACCGCCGCCACTACAACAAACAGCACAGACTAAACGAAACACAGAGGGAAAGTCTTGTCAGAACCAACAATTTAAGGTGGCCTCACGGCGGAAATGTGAAGAGGACGCAGATGTGTCTATCGCTGAATATTTTACAGCTAAGAAGACTAAACTGGACCAAAATCAACAAGATGAAAGGAAAGAAAATATTAAAATGTTTTTGTTAAGCCTGATACCCGATTTGTCTCAGTTGAGTGATGTACAAATAAGGGAATTTAAGCGAAGAGTTTTGAATATTATCGACGATATTGGAGTGCAGTAAGCCCCACTGAAAATACTACTGGTCGCTGCCAAAGTGGATCTGTGACATATTCTAATTCATCAAGTTTATCAGCAATATCATTTCCATCGACTCCTCATAATATTCCTCCCACAAGTCAGTATTATGAGAATTTTAGACATTCTCTGTCCCCCACTGAGGTCAATACCTACACTATTATTGATGACAGCACAACTTAGCAAGTTGCGTTCTTCCTTTTTTAAATGTTTAATTGTATTAAGCTTAAATATAATACTTACCTTAAAGTGAACAGTATTCTTTCCTCTGCGCTCACACATTCTCGCATATTTGTGTTCATCTTTGATAGGAAAGGGCTAAGCAGCTAAACTAATTCCAGGTAAGAAGCTTTGGACATTCTGTAGCATTGCACGAATTTGAAATCTGTTTCGGCTAGCTGGTTAGCTGCCATGAAAAACCTGCAGTTTATGTTTCTTTCAATATAAGGATGACACCACAGTTTTCTTCGAAGCCTTCGTTGTCTTTTGTATCGGTAATAAATAAGCACGTCTTCTTCCTCACTACTAGACATATCTCACAGAAATAGAAGAAAATGTTAAAAAACTGCATCCGTACTGCTCTCATGTACAGCACTGTTTGAGCTGGTTGTACGATACCAATTCAGATTCAGTCGTTTCATGTGCGGACAAGTGCAAGCAATATGAAACTATAATTTTAAAACAATTGCGTTGCTTGGCAGTTGATCAACACGTATCGCGACCTGGTTGCGTCGTGTGCGGACGGCCTTTATTAAGAACCCAACTTATCGTTTTCCAAGCTGTAGTGCGGTGAATCCCATAGTCTTCTGCTACTCCGCTCTGAAAGCCTGGATCACCTAGATAGCGTAGAAATATCTCCATTTTTGTTGTTGCAGAGAGTGCTCCGCCTCTGCGTTCATTATTTTCTGGCAGAAACTCGGAACATAAGAAGTCTACACTTTCTGAATCAAACCTTAACAAACATTTCGACTGACTAGGGCTAATATTCCGTCTTTTTCGATATGTTTTACCCGCACGTAAATGCATGGAATCTGCCATCTTCAACCGTAAGTACACCATTCACTTACCTTAAAAATTATTGAGCATTTACTAACAACATAAGTATTTACCTACCGATTATTCACTCAATTTTAAGTAAATGCTCGTAAAAACTGAGGTTTTACTACATAAGCTAAGTACTTACTACAAAGAGGAGTAAATGCTTGATCTTAAGTATTTACTTGATATTTTATTCACCCGATCCTAGGTATTCACTTATAAATGCCCTAGTAGAAGCATTTACTACATTTTATTCACTTGGCTCATTGACTGTATCATTTTGTACTTAAGGGAGAAACCCATATGGAAATTATTCTCAAGTCTGAGTTTTTAAGAAAAAACATCCTCATGTCGAAAAATAAGACAAACACATCTGCTGGAACATAATAATACTAAGTAATACTTCGGCACATCACACTCGGTCAGATCGAGACTACCTCAATTACAGAAATTCAAAATTCATCAAGATAGATCAGGCTGCGCGGCCTTATTTCATGCCCACCAAGATTTAACCAACTAAGTCCACTAGATTTTTATAGGAGCTCCTTTAGATAATTTGTATACCAAGTTGAGCTGACCTCAGTAATAGAATTGGGTTTCAAAACTGAACCAGCCTCGAGCATGCTACTAGCTATGTTTGTAAGTTAAAAATATGTTTTGAATAAAAATGTAGTTCTTCCATAACAGTCAACGGTGCTCATTACAATAATATCTTAAATTAATATTATTCATCAACATCAATCCTGTCTATTTTTTTAATCCAAGCCATAAATTGTTATTTTCTATATCGACGAAAGCTGATCCTCGCTCACTATAACTGTAATAAAACGAAAACAAAAAACAGCAGAGAATGAATAACAGAAATACCATTTAAGAATTATCAATAATTGGCCAACTTTTTAGACTAATCGGCATAGTGATCGTACTTGACTCTACAAGGTGTCACAGTCAGCGGTTTTCATAAAAATTTAGACTTTGCCATGACGTTTATGTAGTTTTTTTGCCACCTTAGGAAAACTAATACTAGATCTTAGTCTTAAAATACACCTGGTCTAAAAAAGTGGATATTTGTAAAAATGGCACGGAATAAACTGAATCTAAGCAAGTATTTAACAGAAATGGATGCTGAAAATCTAGAAAACCATAAGACTTTTACTTAAATAAAATTTGATTATATCGTAGGCCATGACCTGACCTATCTACAATTGCAGGATTATACTTGAATACCGGAACTCTCTGTATAAGGTTTTGATTTGGCCAGATAATGATAATGAAGACCACAGAATTAATTTTGAGAGTTACATCGACAATATTGAAGGGTAATCATTTGTTTTTCGTTTACCTCTCCTCTCGAGTCTGAATTGGGGCGTTTCGACATCAGCATGGTTTTTCGGGTTCGCGAACGGTTTTAACAGAAAGCGATACCGTTTCGGAAACTAGAAACTGGGCGCGTTACGGGCGAGTAAGAACTGTCGAGACAAGAGGAAGAAATGCAATCAAACACGGCGGTCAAAGTCGAAAAAATGGTAGATTTTCGTGATGTTTCGAAGTAGTGTGTCTATGAGGATTCAGTCTCACTGTTTCTAAAATCCGCCACTAGAGGCGCTGGCGTCGTGCGCCATTGATGAGTTAGACGGAATCTGTATGTGAAATTGATGAGTTGGGGATTCCGCCGCTAGATGGCGCTGTACAAACCAAACGGAATCTATGTGTCATTGGACACCTGTCATGCGTCATTGGGCATCTCGCGCATAGATGGCGCTACACGCGTCATCTGTCATACGTCATTGGACACCTGTCATTGATGGGTTGGGCATCTCGCGCATAGATGGCGCCGATTTGTTGTCTGGCGCTGTACAAACCAAACGGAATCTGTATGTGTCATTGGACACCTGTCATTGATGGGTTGGGCATCTCGCTCATAGATCGCGCCGATTTGTTGTCTGGCACTGTACAAACCAAACGGAATCTGTATGTGTCATTGGACACCTGTCATTGATGGGTTGGGCATCTCGCGCATAGATGGCGCCGATGTCGCACCTGGATGGTGTTGGCGTGGATATACGGGGGGCAGAAATTTAGAACCTGTATACAGGGGTGCATCGAAAAATAGCGGATCGATGGACCGACGGTATATCGTTAAATCGTATATAGCAAGGCGTGACCTAAATAGCTTGGTGGGCGCCTCTGGTCGGTCAGAATGTCTTATAACCTGTACACGATGTACTATTATTATACAGGATGATACCGTTCAAAATGAAAATAGTACATGTATAATGGATATTTTATTGAAACATATAGTATATATAACAATAAGGTTGATTGGTGTGTATGTGTGTGTGTGTGTGTATGAAATTTTCAGTTGCCCACAGTGTCGTCTGAATCAATATCGCTGTGTTCTGGTCGTGCAGGTAGATTGAATGATTGTTTTAAGTGATGCTTGTAATTATCAGGGAGTACTTTAGATGTTGATACTAATCGACTCAAATCATTCTTCGACAACTGATTTGGTTCATGACAGACAAGAACCAAATTATGTATTTCACGGTTCAGTTCTGGTTGTTTTTTAAGTTTTTCCCTAAAAGCATCGTAATTAGCCTCCTCGCTAGTTATGTTTGGTTTTACCATTTTTTATATCAACCTCTTTTTGAACAAAACAATTGCTTGCGACTGGTTTGAATGATTAATACTGTAGCACTGCTACTGCTGATACACAGACTTTATGTAGTAGAATGATGGTGGGGGTGGGGAGTCGAAGGGACCGAATGTTTTTTTTGTTTGACAACAGGCTGAATACGAAATAAACATAGCTTTCAGAAAAATGTATTTTTTAATGATATACAGATACAAGTTTAGATAACAGAGTTTTTAGTTGATGTAACAAATCCTCGTTGGGGCATGGTACTCCAAATAAAGTCCAATGAAATGGTCCGGTCGCAACAACTTTTCTTGTAAATTCATTAAATTTATAGTAAGTTGCGTGACGGAAAATGTAAATATGACCATCAATCCATCGAAGTGCGAGAGAAATGTGTTCAGGTAACCCAGGAAATATGTCTCTTATCCGTCCTCTGTTCAACACATCAGTAAAATTGTTAGAAAATTCTATATATGACATATTATTATAAAAGGTATAGGACCGTCCTGCGTTTGATTGAAAAATAGCATTGATTCGAGCCCTATCGGGTATATCAATTGAAAAATTATCAAGAAATTTAATGGTAGATAATGATGCTGAGAAATATTTGTTTGGAGACACAATGGTAATCAAGTCACCGTTTGTTGATTGGAAAATATGTTGTAAAGTGTATTGACGTAATCCTGTAGGAACATAATCGACAAGAAGTTCAGGCTGAGATGGGATAATCATTTCGTTTAAGTCTAGTTTCCATATAAACATATCATGTGCAATATATAATCGGTAATTTGAAAACTCTGGAGCAATGGCTAAAAACATAAAATCTGGAATAATATCACACAAATTTTTGAGGATCGGCTGCTTGTAGATCTTATAGTTGTTGTTGTTTTTGGTATTGCTGATGCGGTGGTAGACTTTGGGATTGAATCATATTTGTTTTTTCTTCCATATAGATATTGTACTGCATTTATATCATCAACATCTAGACCACGAATCTCATGCTGATAGAAGACAAACATAATAGCATTCGGAGAAGCACTATGCCGAGAGCATGTCCAATTTCATGAACCAACACCATAAGAAAACTAGTTTGATTTTTGGGTATATTAGGATTATTTCCAAAATACCAGCGTTCATTTATATCTAAATGGATTTCTCTACAGGTGCCGCTAGAGTCAGGAAAGTATGCATGACCGAAAACGCCGCCAGCGTCATCTAATGTCAATGGACATTCATCATTACCCATACAGTTTGCTCTAAAATAATGAGTCTTGCTAACCATGGTTATAGTAATATCAGGAGGATGTAGAGTGGGATTGGTAACCATTGTAAATGTTAAGTTTGAAACATTTTGCCACATCTGAAAAGCCATTTCTGCATCTTTTTGGGCCGCAGGTGTGTTTCGAGGGAAATACCATTTCAGGTCATGTTTCCGAAATGGAAAACTTGCTCTAAATTCGGCATCACTGTATTGACAACGCGAACGATGCATAAATTCAATTGTTGCATTATTCAGCAATCCATCCACTGGTAAATTATACTTTTCTTGCAAGTTAGTCAGCAAAGTAGAGAGATCTGTTGTATTATCAATGATATGTTCATATTGAGTTAGGTATACTATAGTGCCTTTTTCGGAGAAATCGTTGCAAAGCACGTATGTGAAAGTTGAAATAAAATCTAATACGTCTACCCACATCAACATCTTGATAGAGAATGATGTCAAAAATCTCAGATAGCAAATATAAATTCGTTTACCCCCCAATCAACATCTTGACTGAAAAAAAATTAGGCAGCAAATATACAATAATCATACACGAATTTCTATATTTCTAAATTTCTACTGTCATGTGCAACTTGTAATTGGAATTTCCGCCGGACAAACGATACATTCATGTATTACTAAGAAATTATATGAAAAACACTGCAACCGCAACGAATGTTGTTTTCTCGATAAAAATGGTACTGAGAATATGATGCATATAATATGCATATTTACGATACAATTATCTCATGCACTTGTGTGTCATCTCAACCACG